TTACAGTTCTAATATTTAAGTCATAACTATTTCCAAGGGGATCTAGTGTCCAAAAGAATGATTAACTACCAACATATATGTCCAATAAAAAAGTATGGGACTAGCAACCTAACTCCACAATGACCTAAGCCCAAAATAAAGGTGGCTACCCTTCTAGCTCGTCACACCCCTCGGTTTCCTGCATCTCTGGGATTGTTACCTAAAATGGCGGAGAATGAAAAACTATAAGATATCTCAGTAAGTAAAATATGGATAATCCTCGTTTATAGTTAAACGTGCCATCAAGTATAATAAAATTTTAAGAAAAACAATACAAATACGAGAAATGAAATAGATGTCTCCTTTATAAGTCATGACCATCGTTTATAAACCTCTCATTGGTGGGCACAAGATTTGCTAGTGTATAATCCCACTAGCAGGAAAACAAGTATAATAAGAAGGTTAAATGCTAATTTTGGTCCCTTGACTTTAAGGTTTTGGACAATTTTGATCCCTTAATTGTGAAAAATGCACTTTTTTAGTTTTTCGTTAGTTTATCTGTTAAGTTTATTTAAATATACACATTTGTACTAAAAATGTGCATATATCAAAAGTTGAGGGACTAAAATGTGCAGATTTAGATAGACTTAATGGACTAATTAATGAAAGATTAAAAAAGTGCGTACAAAAGTTGAGGAATCAAAATTATGCAAAACCTTAAAGTTGAGGGACCAAAATTAGCATTTAACCTAATAAGAATGAACCGGTTCCATAAGTAACATGTCGACATGTGCTAGCGTTTATAAACCTCCCACTAGTAGGCACAAGCATTAGATGACCACATTGGAGACTAAAAACAAGGTAGAAAGTACATTTCAAGTAAATTCAAGAAAATATGTATAACAGGGAGCAAGTAACTTTTATAAATAGACTTGCTTAACCAATTGAAATCCAACTCGATAAAATAGGATTTAATCATGGTACTTAAGCCAAAATAGACTTTTAATCCTGCCACCATCTAAAAATCAATAAAAGTCATGGTTCAAACTTACATTTTAAAATAAAGGACAAACCATAACTTTACTTACCTCCCCTTGTCACTATACCGTAAGTTAGAATTCAAGTCTCAAGGAGGCGAAGGGTCTTAGAACCTATTTCATATCAAGAACAACAAGATCACAACATGCCTCATTCAACTAAATTGGTCTTTAATTCTAGCACCAAGTTCTAACCCAAAGGAACAATTTCTCCCTATCTCTTCTTGCCATATCTACCCACCAAAACCTTACTAGCATATGTATATTACTTAACATGCATAGCCATATTTAAAAAAATTCCAAATGTGGCAACATACATTCCAAAAATTTTCGGTAAATAACAGCAAAATTTTGGTAAATGGCAAGAAATTCTAGGGGAAATAGTGCAAAAAACAGCATGGAAAATGCAAAAAAAAATGCGGAATCTTATGGGTTAAAATAGTGCAAAATACAACAAGGGAAATGCAGAAAAATGCAAAATTTTCTAGGCTAAAACAATGCAGAATACAGCAAAGGAAAGTGCAGGAGAGTGTAGGTAAATTCAAAGTATAATAAAGAAAGGATAAGTCTAGGAAAATGCAGATAAATTCTGCACCACAATAGGTACAAGTTATGGACATAAACAGTAGAAAGTTCAAGACAAAATAGTAGGAGAATCTAAGTAAGAATAGCAACAAAACTCCAAACAAATATAGCCACCAAATGGAAATTATTTCTTAAAACAGAATAGCAAAATTCAAGTGTGAGAACTACAGCAAAGTAAACATGACGCGCTTGATCTCATACTAACATTTGTAGAAAAATATCAACACTACCTCAAGTTTAGAGGCAAGAAAAGCATAAACAAATTCCAAATTCACCTAACACAACATTGTCATGATCTTTCAAGAAGATAAAAAACAGAATACCCATAAATCCTATGCTATATCCCAAATCTAAAATGGTCAATTTTAACTAAGTCTACCAAAATTAGAGAAAGAAAAAGATTGGTTTCATGCTAACATCTTACTAGAAAACTGTGAGTGAAAGTGGTGGTTCCTCCTAAAACGGGAACCCGAATGATAGAGATAGCCGAAACTTGGGGGGCCAGCGTTTGCTTGCGAAAAAGGGGAAACCCAGGGTTGCCGAAGGTGACACGCAACTGCAATGGGGTGGGGGGACAATGAGCTACTATTGAAAGGATTTATGAGATGTGGATGAAAGGATTTGGAGGAGCGGGATTGGCGATGGGAGTTGGTGAAGGATGGAGAATGGTGGTGACAGACTGAGGATGGTGGGGATGGGTTAGAGTTCCTAAAAATGGGAGAATTGGGAGCTTATACTCTTGACCCCCCCCCCTCCTTTTTTAAGCTCCACCCCCTTGCTTAGGTTTGAAATTTGTGACCATTAGGCCCTACAAAAGATAGTTTCTCCCACATAAGTCTCAAACTTAAATTTTAAAGTTTTAGCAAAATTTTGGGTTATTGCACCTACTAACAAGGACAACAATTGCACATTGAAAGCAAGCTTTTCAAATTATCATTCCTTCTCCCACCCATCTCTTCGTATTTCTTTCCCCTTTGTTGTTGCATGTAAGGGATTTGACAAAAGAAATGAAACATGTACGCATTACCATTTATGGAATGAGACAAATATCTACTTCTTTTTTTCATTTATTGTTTCTCTTTTTAACAACTACTCCATATTTTTCCTAAAGTGTATTTGCCATCATTTTGTTAGTCACAAAAGTTATCAATTTTGGGGTGACAAAGTTTTGGACAAGGTCCTACCATTGTCATGTTTGGCAAGATAATCTCATCAATCCACTAGTCTAGGCGTTGTTGAAGGCTTGAGGAAAAGGTTATAATAATCAGAATCTCACTTCTTTCGTCAGTTCACCAACCAACGAACTCAATTTTTCAAAAAAATCTTCTCATGTTCAAAGTTGGCCGTGTCAACCCTTGACTAGTCACTGACAGAAACAAGGTATGTTAAGAGATGGTATCACTAGAAAAAATAATGCAAAGTGAAATAATGGTACATAAGTGTATTTATATTTTAACTTAGAATATGTCTAATATAAATAAAGAAAGAGAAAAAAAATTGAAATACAAAAATATAAGACACTAATACAAACACTCTCCAATTCAACACACTTATTAAAAAATTAGTATATTTTAGTATGGAATTAAAGGTAGAAAACTTAAAAATGAAACTATGCATACAACATGGAGGAACTACTTGAACTAGTTGCACCTAAATTGTATTTTAAGGCTAAACTACTTGGGTGTTGATATGTTTGTCAAACCTGAGGGTTTTCAAATCATTTTTCAAAGGTTAAATTTCAATTTTAGTCTCTTAACTTTTAATTTTGAATAAATTTAGTCTCGAAATTATTTTTTTCATTTCTTTCATCCTTTGACTTTGAAAAATGCCCTTTATTAGTTTTGAATAATTTTAATCCCTAAACTTTTAATTTTAAATAATTTTATATATCATTGAATGATAGATTATATTTAAGTTCTTAAACAAAGGGAAAGGGAATGAAGAAGGAAGGGAAGGAAAGAGGACAAAAAAGAACCCAACTGACTCAAACCGTTCAAGAAGAAGATCGAAAGAGACACTACCAAGAAGACCTACTTTTCAAACCAAAAAATTGGTCTGAAAATATTGAAAATCGGTTTCAATATACTTATTTGAACAGCTATTGATCCAGATAGTCGATCCAAAAAAACATAATCTGAATAACATAAACTTTTAAACAGATGAAAAGTTGGTCTGAATAAAATTAATTTTCAAACTGAAATCGGTCTAGATAAAACTTGAGAAAGGATGACATTTCAACCAAGATTTTAGATCGAGAATGGTTTGAAA